TGGAATCAAACGCATTACACAATAAGTAAACCAAGCTATCATTAAAAATCAACACAGGCTCAACTTAAAAAACCAGAGTTGTCAATTTTTTTTGCATTTATCCTCGTTACTGGATTATTTTATGGAAAGTTAAGCAGTAACATTATTACTATCATAATTAAATACTGATGACCACCATATATAATGTCTTCTCAAGACCTAAAACTACTGCATACTGACGAAATGACCTATAGCACTTCAAGCGAATTGCTAACTTACGTGATTTGCATAAATTGAGTATTAAGATGCCTTTTAAAGGCACAGCTTGTGCATACAAAGGCATTTCTTGAACCCATATTTGACATTTTATCTACAGGTTAATTTTCAATTCCCAACGATCAGAGTCGAGGCCTGACTGTTTATTAGATGTAAATTTTCCACTGAATTTAAAATTCTGATACTATTTTCTAACAAAAGGTAAGATAAAACTTAAACTTATCATGAAGTCATCTTATTTACGCATATGCATATATACATCAATTTAATGTAGCGAAATGCGGCAGAGTGTGAATCAATTGTGCAGCTGAAATTACACTGTAATAAAAGAAAAATGATTTATGCTCGGTGCAAAAAGAACACTGCTATCCTAGCTAGTAGTTGTTCATTTTGGCTCATAAACAATTAATTAACAAACTACTCGTCATTACATCATAAATTGCAACACGATGCAGGTTTTTCTTACAATTGGTTATATAGTGTAACAGGTTTATGAAAGCCCATCTTCCTTAAATTTTTACGAAATCCATCCTTTAGCAAAGGATGAGCAAGCATTGCAAACATGAAGGTGCGACAAAGACCCATTAAAAGCCTACTTTTCTTCGTTCATATAGAAATCACTCATTCATCTTAGATTTAATCATTTTATTCGTCCCTTAATTGAGTCGTCCTAAAAAAATGTACCAGTTTTGGGCATTCATTCAAGATTTGTTCATCCACCAAATTATTTCTTAAACCACTCATTTTTTACTTACCTATCTAACCATTGGACGATCTACATCTCCCCTCGTTACGCCAATACATCAGGGCATTTTCCATCTTTGAAGCAAAGGAGTGTTCTTTAATTTAGTAATATAGTGAATGTAGAAGGAGCTTATTATCATGAATTAGGATATTTCATTGATATGTTGAAGTAGGAAGAACGGGAAGGAAGGAAGTAAATGATTGGCTAAAACCAAGTGTATACTCTCATGGTTTTTCATAGATAGCGAAAATAAGGAGGAGTTGGAATTTCTAAGGTCAAAATCGACGTCTTACTTCTACCTTGCTGCACCACCTGGAGTCGATGTGTGTATGCGCCTATCTTCAGAGGAGCAGCAACTGAATGACTTCAGCATGCCTGCTGTATTAACATCAGTCTGTGTGCTTCGATGCCATTCGGCTTCTGTTAAATAAGAGGTGTCAGCAGGGGTGAAATATTAACGGACTTGACAATTAACTTAGAACGATGTCGTGAAAATTATAGAATGCAGTGGTAAGGTCTTGTCCTCAGAAAGGAATCAGCATGGAGGTGGCATCTGACGACATCTTCCAGGCATCATGTGTTACATCGGCTGGAGAGGATATCATGGGTCCTTTCATTTCCAAATTATTATTGAGAAAGCTCTTAAAACACCCGTGGGTGTTTTTGTACGTATTTCCCTTTACTGTATTAAAGATAAAAAATTTCCGGAGTTATGCACAGTGTCTAGTTTTTTATTGATTAAGAGGGAATTCACAGTGGTTTCATCGTCAACTCATTATGAAAAAATATTGTCATACTTTACCTATTCGCAGGTAAGCGGGTGGCGTCAAGCTGCTAGCCCAGAGGACTCAGCTGGCTGCCGTGTACTTTCCGCGCCTGATGCGTCGCCGTCAATGGGCCAGGGTAGGTTACGGTGGTCCGCTCCTTACAGAGGAGTGGAGCATAACTGTGACCGCAGACCACTGTTTCTCTTTTACCTCGGTGCCGTCTATTCCGACTGCTTATCTATCTATCCGCCTGTCTGCCTTCCCGTCCATCCTGCTGTGGGTGGGCTAGCGGGTGGGCAAGTGAGTGGGTGTGTGAATGTGCGGAGGGCGGGTTGGCTTGAGTAGGTGGATCCGAGGTTGCGGCATGTGCTATTCATGTCAACGGGCACCGGAGTATGCCACTGCTCTATGGGCCTTGCGGTCCGTGCATTTTCTCCGTGGTGAACACCACCACCGTTGGAATTGCCAGTCTGCCGTACTCGAGTCGTGTCCTCCTGGCAACCCTCCTCCTCCTCTTCGCTAGGTTGGTTGGTTTCACGGCTGACTGGCTGGCTGACCGACTGGTGGATGGATGAAAAGATCCGACGATCACGATCGTGGATAGGCCAGCGGACGGCGCAGTGGTGCCCTGATGCTGCAGCATGCTAGTCTGCGCTCCCTGTCAACGCATTCAGAGCCAAATTTTATTTTTTGAATACCATGCTGAAGGCTGTGTATCTATTTGACTGACGTTAGTTAACGTAACGCATGGGAAATGTGCAACGACTTCATGCTAAGCGGATGCAAACAGACATAATACCATGTCTACTTATATGGAATTCAGTCTCTCCCGTAGGGCAGCATAACTAATAATAATCTGCATTGTGGGATTTCTTTCTATCTGCCCGTTGTTTGAAGACCTACTTAAATAGTTGGCAGTCTATGCCTACTTATTCACACTCAAGGATGAATTGCTGTCGAACATCATGTCAAATTCCAAGCATATCGATAAGACAGACGTCAAGTGACGCAACGCATGGAAAATGTATATCGATTTCATGTATGCGGGTGTCAGCTGATGTAATGCCACGTCTACTTATATGGAATTCAGCCTTTCCGAAGGGCAGCCTTCCCAAAAATAGATATGGTTGTCAAAAATATTTAACTCTAAGTTCCTTGAACGAAGAAATAATTTTATAGATCTCAGCTTATTCGCTGTGCCATTTCATTAATATTATCCCTCCTTATACGGATCCAGCCCTACGGATGGGCTGATTTCCATATAAGTAGACATGGCATTACATCAGTTGGCATTCGCATTGCATGAATTCGACATAAATGCCCTATGCGTTGCGTCACTTGACCTCCGTCAAGTGGATATCCCTACACTTCAACACGACATTCGATAGCTTATATAACTTGAAAATCGTTTAAGTAGGTATAATATTGATGACACGGTCCTTTGGATATGCCGAAATCTATTTAAGTAAGGCCACATTCAACCAACGGGTACCACACATTATTTTGTATGCCGTTTTACGGATAAGTTGAATTCCATATACAAGGCTTTTTCTTTACATCAATTGACCCTGTGTAAGTCTGATTTCCATAAATACCTCCCATTTATTTCTTCCTTTTCCCAGGTATGTCTTTATGTCTATATTATTCTTCCTTGTACTTTGTCACTTTACTTCCTTATAGCCTTAAATCTCTATACGTACTCTTAGCATTATGCGAGATGACATCCTTTCTCCTGAATCGCTATTAATAGGCTGTTAATTTGCTGAGTCTACAGAAAGACTTAAATCGATATAAGTTGACATATCATGGTGTGATTTGAATTTAGAAGGCAATAATTCGAATTAAACATAGTAATAATGGCCCTCTTCTTTGATGGTGAAGATCTTTCTTTCAATGCACTGATTCGTTCATTAAAAACTCTGCCTACCTCTGTGTTTTACAGGTGCGGTAACGCAAAAGCATACGCAAGTGTCGGCGAGGGCGTTGGAAATTTACATCGCTTTGTACGATGCTTAATGCCACGTCTGTATGTTGGTGGACCTGTCTGTATTTCAATAGGTGGCCTGAACAGTTAGTATGTTGGTTGGCGCATGATACAGACAGGTGGTTGTACCGTTTATTATCGGTCAGTGGGATCATGTGCCCACGTGCTGGCCTCCCCACTCATTGGTTCAACGGCCAGCTAATCTGCTCTCGCTTGCTCGCTCGCTTGTGCACTTGTTGGCTGACTGGCCAGCCGTATGGTCTGCTTGCTGGCTCGTCCATTCAAGCAGTGTTGGGGCTGTGGTCGTGGCTATGGATAAGTAATGTCGCGTCAAGTCAGCAAATTCGTGGTATCACCTTTAAGCCCTGTCTGTGGCGTAGCTGTTGCAAGTGTGGGCTGGTGTTGGGCAGTGCTCTGCACACGAGTTGGAGCCTATCAACACGTCTGATTTGGTGTCTGCGGTCGGATGGCACGTGTACATTGCACGAATTAATGCGCCCTAGTCGGACCGATGCTGCCTGTAAAGTTTTGTATGGGAAAATGGAATAAGGCTTCGGTTCT